TGAAAGAATGTAAAGAAAGATGTCAACCATAATCCATATGTAGTGTGATTGTACAGGAATTGGCCCACCGAATATTGAACGTCTATAAGCGCCCTTGAGATGGATAGTCAAACGACAACAATGTACATTGTTGTACAAAACGACAACAATGCCCCCATTACCAAAACAATCAGGGGCAGTTTCGTAAATTTCTCAATGTGCATTGTTTAAGATTAGGGTGGTTATATTGCGAGTTGCAACCACAATTTTTATTTGTTACACAACATTTTGATTTCACTTAAAGTTCTCAATTTTGCTCATTATAACACTATGTCCCTAACATTTTATCCTTAATTTTTCATTAATTAACACATCCCGTATATGATAGCAGATTCTATCCAAAAAGTCTATTGAAAGGGCGTAAAACGACTTACTTCCCATCTTATTTTTGAAAATAAATAAATATAAAAGTGCGAAAAATATTTTCCCTTATTTTAAAGCATGAAAAAAAGAATGTTCTGACAGAAATCAATGTAAAAGACGAAATGTACTAATTGCTGGGAGGATGAAGATAAAAAAAGTTAAGGATATAAATACTATGACAAACAGAGACAGATGAATGTAAGTGCAATAAAAATATAATGCAACAAACCGTTCAGTTTCGAAATTCTGGATAATCAAGAATAGTTAATGATCCAAATATGAAAGAGCAAGTACTTCACCCCCTCCCAATAAGTGCAATAAAAATATAATGCAACAAACCGTTCAGTTCCGAAATTCTGGATAATCAAGAATAGTTAATGATCCAAATTCAAGTACTTCACCCCCTCCCAATAGCAACCTTATATTTAGAATTATCATCGGGAATCTTTTTCATTGCATTTGTCCAACAAACTATCCGACAAACTAATCATAAATCCCACAAACTTTTTCAAACTCTAATCCCAATAAACCTAACGCCCTCCCACAAACTCCCTTTTCATGCTGTTGAAGAGGATCTTAACCATATATCAAAGATCTCGGGATTAGATACAACAGAAGCCAACAGACTCCACTGATTCTAGGACTTCTCATGTGATAATGATAATGCTTTTAAACTCCTGTAAATCACAGCAAATCATTGCTGAAATATAGTAGATTAGTTTCAATAGGCTTCTATATAATGTAAGCTATTTCTTGATAATATACAATAGAAATTATTCTAACTTTATATGGTATCAGATCTATTAGACAAACGTCTCTAAACTATCTTTTTTTTTTTTCCAGAATGGCTTCTCCCAATTCATCTACCTCTTCTGATTCACATGATATCATCTATCCTACCTTCAATTCTTCCTCTGTTGTCAATATTACCAAACTCAAAAGAAACAACTACCCAATTTGGAAAGCTCAGATGCTCCCTTATCACAAAGGTCAGGAGGTATTTGGCTATGTTGATGGTACTATTACACCTCCTTCAAAAACTCTATCTGCTCATAATGACACCGCTCTACCAAAT